ATAGTGGGTCACTATGAGTCAGAATCAACTTGACAGCACAAAACAAAAACAACTGAATCTTTTTGAAAAATTTCAAGCCTTCAGAAAAGTTACAAGAATAGTACAAAGGATCTTCATAAACTCTACACCTAAGCTCACCAACTGTCTACATTTTGCTACGTTTGCTTTATCCCTCTCTCTTCTCTTCTCTTTCTTTATTTTTCCGACATCATGGCATTTTATCCCTAAGTAATTTAACTTGTATCCCCTAAGAGAAAGAGCATTCTCCCACATAACCAAAAAACACCCCAGTGCCATCGAGTCGATTCCAACTCATAGCGACCCTGTAGGACAGAGTAGAACTGCCCCATAGGGGGTTTCCAAGGATCAACTGGTGGATTCGAACTGCTGACCTTTTGGTTAGCAGCCAAGCTCTTAAGCACTGCTCCACCAGGGCTCACATAACCACAATATAATTAATGACCACATTCGGGGAATATACCATTGATAAAATACTATTATTTCATGTATATATGTGCACGTTTGCCAGCTATCCCAATAATGAGTCATGTCCTTTATAGCTGTTTTTATTCATATGTTTATTTATTTGGGATTCCGAATCCAATCAAAAACTATGTATTGCATTTTGCTGTCATGTCTCTTTAGCCTCCTTTACTCTAAAAGTTTCCCAGCCTTTTTTTCCCCCAACTTTATATTCTGAAAGTTTTCAAACATGCAGAAAAGTTGAAAGACTAGAACAATGAGCACTCATATACCCACCACCTACATTTAACCATTGTTCCATTCTGCCATATTTTCCTTATCTAGCTGTATTTATTTCTGAACCATCTGAAGGTAGGTTGCACATATCATGACCCTTCACTCCTAAATACTTCCTTAAGCATCTCCTAAGAACAAGGATATTCTCCTTCATAACCTTAGTGTTATTGTCACATCTACAAAAATTAACAGTCATGCCCTAATATCATCTAATATCCAGTTCAAGTTCACATGCCCATAATTGTCTCACCAACTTTTTAAATTTTTGTTTATATTTACTTATTTCATCTTTTTGGAGGAGTCACGGGTAGTTTTTCACGTCTCTTGTATGACATTCCCGCCGGTGTTTTTGGATTCAGTATTTGATTGTTGAGATTCATCTATGTGAATGACCCTGGCTCATTGCTTATAGTAACTGCTCTGAGTGACTGGTGCATCTGGCCCCATTTATGTTCCTATGAGTGACCTCCTCTTGTCCCCCCTGGCAGATTAGCATCATGCAGAGTGAAACAGTCCAAGATGTGCTGCTCCTGGACCCCCGCTGGCTTTGCACTACAGTCCTGGGGAAGCTGCTTTCAGTAGAGACCCCCCGGGCCCTGCACCACTACCGCGGCCGCTACACCGTGGAGGACATTCAGCGCCTGGTTCCTGAGAGCGATGTGGAGGAGCTGCTACAGATCCTCGATGCCATGGATATCTGCGCCCGGGACCTGAGCAGCGGCACCATGGTGGATATCCCTGCCCTGATCAAGACAGACAACCTGCATCGCTCCTGGACGGACGAGGAGGACGAGGTGATGGTCTACGGTGGCGTGCGCATTGTGCCCGTGGAGCACCTCACCCCCTTCCCCTGTGGCATCTTTCACAAGGTCCAGGTCAACATGTGCCGGTGGATCCACCAGCAGAGCACCGAGGGCGACGCAGACATCCGCCTGTGGGTGAATGGCTGCAAGATTGCCAACCGCGGGGCTGAGCTGCTAGTGCTTCTGGTCAACCACGGCCAGGGCATAGAGGTCCAGGTCCGTGGTCTGGAGACCGAAAAGATCAAGTGCTGCCTTCTGCTGGACTCGGTGTGCAGCACCATTGAGAACGTCATGACGACCACGCTGCCGGGGCTGTTGACTGTGAAGCATTACCTGAGCCCGCAGCAGCTGAGGGAGCACCACGAGCCCGTCATGATCTACCAGCCTCGGGACTTCTTCAGGGCACAGACCCTGAAGGAGACCTCACTGACGAACACCATGGGGGGCTACAAGGAGAGCTTCAGTAGCATCATGTGCTTTGGGTGTCACGACGTCTACTCCCAGGCCAGCCTCGGGATGGACATCCACGCTTCGGACCTGAACCTTCTGACTCGGCGGAAACTGAGTCGCCTGCTGGACCCACCCGATCCCATGGGGAAGGACTGGTGCCTTCTTGCCATGAACTTGGGCCTCCCTGACCTTGTGGCAAAGTATAACACCAACAACTGGGCTTCCAAGGATTTCCTCCCGAGCCCGGTCCACGCCCTCCTCCGGAAGTGGACCACCTACCCTGAGAGCACAGTCGGCATCCTCATGTCCAAACTAAGGGAGCTGGGTCGCCGGGATGCGGCAGACTTTTTGCTGAAAGCATCTTCTGTGTTCAAAATAAACCTCGATGTCAATGGCCAGGAAGCCTATGCCTCCAGCTGCAACAGTGGCACATCCTATAATTCCATTAGTTCAGTGGTGTCCCGGTGAGGGCAGCCTTTGCCTTGGGTCTCTTTGGACTGCACAGCAAAGGGGCTACAGCCCACCTTTCCAGTGGGAGCTTCTGAGTGCATTCCTTCCTGTGCTCACAGGCTGAAGGACCACCCCCCTTCTCCCTTTTCACCTATTCTCTGCCACTACCTCCCTCCTGCTCACACATTCCGTTGTATGTGAATGGTCTTTCTAGCTCACGGGCAGACCGACTCCCTTCACTTTGGCCATTTGAAAAGCTATTGTACCTCCTCTCAGTGTTTCGGACTCCAGATCTTGTCCTCCAACACTTTGCTTGATCATTTTACTGGAATTCCTGACTTTTTAATGAGATTTTTTTAACTCTATTGATTGTCCTTTTAAAGGAAAAAAAAAGCACACATTGATCCAAAATGTGTCTTTCTTATGCTCCTTTTCTTTGTGACACCATCTCCTGCACTTCTCTCTTTCATATTTGTAGGGAAAACTCCCGTGTCTGGAATCCCACTGTATGGTTTATAAACAGACATTATGTGAGTGCCTTCTGCAGAAGAGGGTGTGTTTGAAATCATCTGGGGCAGCCGGGCGCTGTCATAAAGGAAACCTACCTCTCTGTCCCTTGCTGCATGCAGATCATCCCCTGAGGTGCTTCACCCTGAGTTTTTTTCTGGCAGTCTTTATGTTTCATTTGGCAAGGAAGGGGGAGAAAGGAATCCTCCTCCAGGATGATGTCACGGCCAGTGTTGTTGCTCTAAGACATTTCTGCGTTTGCTTCTGTTTAAACGTCAATGTGACCGTCCCCATGAAACCTACAAACTGTCATACTTCATCATTCCCTCTCATCTCAGGTAGAAAGTTGACACAGTTGTAGGGTGACGGAGACCTGTGTAAGAATCCAGAAGACCCCTGACTCACCATGTGTGGCAGTCCATTGTCATTTGTGCATAGCAGACGGGTTTCCACATTTAAATCCTGGTTTGACAACTTCCTGTACTTGAAGTTTAAAAAAACAGAAAATAAAGGAAGCAAATTTTCTTGCAGTGATTTTAAATCGTGATAAGAGTTTTAAATTGTTATGAGGGAACATGTCCTAATTCTTCTGTCCTGAGAAGCATGTAATTTTAATGTTATATGTGTGTGTGTGTATATATATATATGCGTTATGTATATACATATATATTAATACTGGTATTTTTACTTAATCTATAAGATGTAGTAAAGAGTTAAGTTTGTTTTTTTTCCTTTTCTTTTCGTTCTTTTTCTTTCACTTTTTTTAATAAATAAACTGTTGCTTGTTGCATTAGTTTTGTTGGTCTTTAATTCAAAAGAAATTATTTTTCTTTCTTGCGGTTTTCACAACCATCACTCCGCATAATAGGATAAACCAATCTGAAATCCAGAAAGTCACTAAACTTAAGCCCCCAGGGTTGGAAAATAACATAATATATTTGGGTGTTTAATTATTGCCAAGTTTGGGAGTGGTATGGGCAGTCTTAAGAAAGATCCCAACCAATTTGCACGTTTGTTCTAATGTTACAGAAAAGAGGCCTGCCCTGTGGGATTTAATTTTAAAATTAAGTAAAGAAATACTAAAGTTTATCATGCATAACCTCATTTAGTTTATTGCAAGATAGTGATGGCAAGGCACACAGATAAGACCACAAGACATTCAGTTAGGACTGGAGAATCATGACAATATAACATTAGTCAAATGGTTAGAGTCCAAATCTTTAGACCTCAGTCTTTTACCAGTAATGAGCTGTCATAGGAGGGAGACTTGACCATGGCTTGTGCTTGGTGGAGTTCCCTCATAGCTGGGGTCCAAGTATGGCAGCGGCAGGCAAAGTCTGCTACTGCCTTCTCTCAGTGAGTGGTCTTAAGTTCGTGGTTTACATATGATTTCCTCACCTTGGTTCCACACAGTAAGGGCAAGGTGATGTAATGTCTTACAAAGACTAAGAGATTAGCTGTATATAGCATCTTTTCTTTAAGATTAGAGATTAAGGGAGTTGTTTATGACTTAATGTCTCAAGGCCACCTTACAGAGATCTAAATATATGTTACATTTTCTTCACCACTGTATGCAGGTGCATAGCTGTCTTAGAGAAGTTGCTACTACATACTGCACATAATTCTATGTTTCTATTTCTAAATTCAGAATTTTTCTAGTTCTAGTGTCACATTGTAAGTGACTTTTACATATATGGTTTGACATACGTGGTTTGAGAACATTACAGAAAGCACACGTAATAAGGCACCTTCCATTCTCCTTTAGTGAACAATAATGAAAAAAAAAAAAAACCACACACACTAATTGAGTCATTCAGTCTCAGCAATGGAGGGACTTAGAAAGCTTTCTATTTTTAAACAAAGGTAAAGGGAATGGTGCCAGGAGCAAGAGAAACACATCTCACTGCCCTTCCTTAAATACAGACTACATTTGCCCCAGACTATCAACCATAAACTCTAGATCTGACTACATGGCGGTTGTAAATGACGAAAGTAGAACAAACACAGAGCATGTATTTAGCATAGTCTCAAGGTGGCTTTTTTAAAATGATCATGAAAAAGAAAGACTGGAAGGAAAAATACTTAAATGGTAACAATGATTTTCTGTATGGTGGTGGAAATAAAGTTCATTTTTATTTTGCCCAAGTTGTCCACAATAAGGGAGCCCTGGTGGTGCAGTGGTTAAAGCGCTCGGCTGCTAACCAAAAGGTCAAGGGTTCAAACCCACCAGCTGCTCTGTAGGAAAAAGATGTAGTAGTCTGCTTCCATAAAGATTTGCAGCCTTGGAAACCCTATGGAACAATTCTATTCTGTCCTATAGGGTTGGTATGAATCGGAATCCACTCGACAGCAGTGGATTTTTGGTTTTGGGTCCACAATAAACATGTACTGTTACATTTAGAAAGCAAATATTAATAAAGTAAAAAATAAAAACTACACGTAAATATGCCTAGAGAAGATGACGTGAAATTTAAATCATGGTTGCCTTACAATAAGTGAGATTCCCTGGGTGATGTAAACAGTTAAGCTCTTGGCCGCTAACCGAAGGCTGGAGGTTTGAGTCCATCCAGAGGTGCTTTGAAAGAAAGCCCTGGTGATCTACTTCTGAAAAATCAGCCACCGAAAATCCAATGGAGCACAGTTCTACTCTGACACACATGGAGTCGCCATGAGTCAGATGTGACTGGACGGCAACTGGTGGTTTTTTGGGTTTTTTTCAGAATAAGTGACACTTAATTTCTTACATCAACTCTTCACTGTTGGACTCATTCCCCCCGTTTCAGAAGAGTGCTTCAGATGACAGGGAACTTGTCACTAGGTAGCTGAAAACCAGAGGCAAGATGCTCCCGGAGGAAGGCTCTGATTGAAATAGTTTGGGTCATGTAACCATCCCTGTAAAGAGCCCTGGTGGCCCAATGGTTAAGTGCTCAGCTGCTAACTGGAAGGTTGATGGTTCGAACCCACCAGTTGTTCTAAAGGAGAAAACACCCGGCAATCTGCTCCCGTAAAGATTCCAAACAAAGCAAACCAGTTGCCATCGAGTCGATTCTGACTCATAGCTCGACCCTATAGGACAGAGTAGAACTGCCCCATAGGGTTTCCAAGGAGTGAGTAGTGGATTTGAACTGCCACCTTTGGGTTAGCAGCCAAACACTTAACCACTAAGCCACCATGCTTCCAACCACAGGAAATCTTATGGGGCAGTTCTACTCTGTCCTATAGGGTCACTGTGAATCAGAATCCACTCAAAGGCACACAACAACAACAAGCCATCTCTGTGCCAAACAATGGTTGGGGTAGATAGGGAACTGTGACTGTCCTGGCCCCCATGACCCTGGGTCAATGTTATCTGATCCACAAAGCCACGTGGAGCGGGGAGGAGCAGTTCTCCCAGAGAAGTGTGTTGTGTTATCAGAAAGGGGAAGAAGAATGCAGGGCAGACAGATGGAAAGTACCGCGAGTATCTTTATACTACTTTATACCAGCAGATCCTAGGAAAGGCACCTGTCCATATAAATATTGAGCCACCATGGCCTTGGGTGGTGAAAACGGTTAGCACACTCAGCTGCTAACAGGACGGTTGGAGGTTCAAGTCCACCCAGAGACACCTTGGAAGAAAGACCTGACAATCTATTTCGGAAAAATCAGCCATTGAAAATCCCATAGAGTGCAGTTCTACTCTGACACCCATGGGATTGTCAAGAGTCAGAATCAACTTGACAAAAACTTTTATTTTTTTTGGTTCCTAAAATGTTGAAGCCATTCCTAGGAATCATTACAACCCAACCTTCAAGAGTTTGAGGATCCCTGAGCTCACAGCCCCTTTCTGGGAAGTGAGGTGGAGGGCATTCCTTGGGGGCAGTTTGGGATCTTTGGTGTCAGGCTGAAACTGTCCAGCAAAGCCCCACCATGTGTAGCCAGCCCCACCACCAACAAGAGGGACGAAATCAGGCCATAGCTTACCTTCTGCAGCCGAAAGTGAGAATTAAAGGGTGAAGCTTTTAGGAGCCAGTAACGTTAAAGCCACTCCTGGGACCCTTTATCTTAGAGGTGCAGTGAACAACGTGGGCAGTACGTTCCTCAGCACCTCCAGGCTGTGGATGCCCTTAGGTACAGAAGCTAGACCTGGGCTGCCGGGGGGTGGGGGGTGTGGAGTTCTGCAGCCTCCAGTGTGGACAGAGCATCCCGGGGACCCAATGTCTCCATGACATGGGCCAGAGGGTATTTCTGGGAGTTAATTGTTCCAGAATTTGGATCTCTGCTCCTTCTGAGTGGAGTCCCAAGGTGATGCAAATGGCCAAGCGCTTGACTACTAACAGAAATGTTGGAGGTTTGAACCCACCCAGAAGCGCTTCAGAAGACAGGCCTGGCAATCTGCTTCCAAAAGATCACAGCCTTGAAAACCCTAGGCTCTACTCTGACACATAGGGTCACCGTGAGTCAGAATTGACTTGATGGCACTGGTTGGGTTTTGGTTTGTTCCTAAAAGGAACCTGAGCTCTGTGTGCAAATGTTGGTGTCTTCTTTTTTGCAGAAAGAGGTTTACAATTACAGCTACAGGACTCCCAGAAATGATCAAACCAAGTCGAGGCCCCATTGATGTCCAGAGTCCACACATGTCTTGCTAACCTCTGGTGGTATGACCCCAGAAAAGCCACTCCAAAGTAAAGGCCTCCATTCATGCGTGCATCATTCCTGCATAAACAGCTGCTAGATGCCAGGCTGCAAAATCAGGAAGGCAGTCGAGAGAGTTGAGCTTAGCTGTGGGATGCCTTCATGAAGTTAGTAGGAAACTGGAACTGAGCCTGTCCCCAGAAAGGTAAAGCGCCCACTACACTCTTGCTTGGAGAGAAATGAGCAAGATTAGCCAATGTGTTCAGAGCAGCCCCACAAAGCAGGACCCCACCCCAAAAAGGGGGGAGGGGAGAGAAAAAGTTATTGGATTGCTTTTTTTTTTCCTTCTGAATTTCAATTGGAACTTTAAAAAAAAAAAAAAAGACTTTTTTAGAGCAGTTTTAGGTTTAGAGAAGAATTGCACAGGAAGCACACAGTTCCTATACACCTCTGCCTCTGCCTCCTCAGAGTTTCTCCTATCAATGTCTTGCATTTTTGTGGTACCTTTGTTATAATTGATGAACCAATATCGATACATTATTATTAACTAGGAGCCCTGGTGGTGCAGTGGTTAAAGCGATCAGCTGCGAACGAAAAGTTCGGCAGTTTGAACCACCGGCTGCTCCACGGAAGAAAGATATGTCAGTCGGCTTCCATAAAGATTTACAGCCTTGACAACAGAAAGTCCCAGACAGAGCAGAAGAAAACTGTAAAACAGAATTCAAATTCACGTAAAAACACCAGACTTAATGGTCTGACAGAGACTGGAGGAACCCCCAAAATTATGGCCCCCGGAACTCTGTTAACCCAGAACTGAAACCATTCCCAAAGCCCACTCTTCAGACGAAGATTAGACAGGACTATAAAACCAAAAATAATACAAGCGAGGAACATGCTTCTTAGTTCAATCAGATATACGCGACCAAATGGGCAGCTCCTGTCCAGAGGCAGGATGAGAAGGCAGGAAGGGACAGGAACTGGACAAATGGACACAAGGAGCCCGGAATGGAAAGGGGGAGCGTGCTGTCACATTGTGGGGATTGCCACCAGTGTCACAAAACAATATAAGTGTAAATTTTTGAATGAGAAATTAACTTGAGCTGTAAACTTGAACCTAAAGCATAAAAATAAAAATAAATTTAA